CTCTTCCTTTTTCGTTTTATTTTTCAGTTTATTTTTCAAAGTTTTTTTAAGAAGTTTTTGTTTGTAGTGTAACTTCTTTACGCCCTTTAATTCCTCCAATTTTGCATGTAACTCTTTAAAGGACTGTGCTCTTTTAGTCTTTTTACCTGGTATAGCAAAATTCTTCACTGCGATGGAAAATACAGTAAAATAGAGTCAGCAATAAAATTCACAGAGAATAAAGATTTTTCTTTTAATAAACAGAAAAAATGCAAACTTTCTTGAAACAAAAAGTATCATTAAAATGATTACAATTTTTATTACTATGTAATATATATATTACATATTAAAATATGAATGTAGATAGAATATCATTGGTTAGAGAATTGGATAGATTGAATTCTGCAAGATTATTTTATACTTTCAAATAAACAAAGAGAGATAATACCTTTTTTTGTAGGCTCTTCTTCCTTCATTGATGGATCATTTTTTTCAACTAAATAAAAACAGGGAATATATTCATGAAATATATCCAATTATTATTTTTAAAAATTCTTTACATTTCAGAAATTATATCCTTGGTGAAAATTTTTCTTATAATTTTTATACGAACTGGAACATTTTTCAGAAATACTCAGAAATATTCGGAAAGTTTACATCTTCTCTCAGAATTTTTCATACATGTGAATTATCGAAATATACTGACAATGAGATTTCTCATCCCATAATTAAAAAAAAATATTTTTTAATGTTTTAGATTTTATAACATTTCATCAGAAATTATACTTACAAAAAATTTTAGAAATCTTACGATATTTCATTAACATATATGGAAAATTTTAAGAAAAGATTTTCTGAGAAGTTTCAATTCGTATAAAACAATGTGAGACAGTTATAAAATTACATACAAATTCTGAAAAATTATATGAAAAATTCTGAGAAAAATTTTCACCAGGGATTACTTGAAAAATTATATTTACCTAATTCATGCGTCGACACGGGCATTATAGATAATATATGGGAAATAAATTGTTCTTCTTTCTGAAGCATTTTACGTACTTCCTCTTTATTAAACCCTTTCGACATTGTTAACTGCATCTTCTTCCCAAAACTCACGTGTACTTAACCAGACTTAACTTAAAATGTAAATAACTATGATATAGGTTATGTTACCCAACGTCACAAACCTTGAATATGAACAAGAAGACTAGAACGTGCTAGAACTAAGGAGAGTCAACTCGTGCCAATAGCGGTAGTGGGGGTGAGGCAAAAAGTGGCGACGGATAACTTCCCCCACTCTTGCGCTTCATTAGTCCTCTCTGTCGCTCTATATAGTCGTCGCTCTGTCATTTTATAATCGTCACTTTGTCGCTCTTATATCGAACTTTCACACAATGCGCAGTGCCGCTGCACATCGTGTGAATAGCCGCGGACGTTTTTTGACTCACCCCCACCACGCGAGTTGATCCTCCTTAGTTCTAGTCTACTTGAATATGAAGATAATAGATTCGGGATTCGTATTATCATATTTTTCTATGAACGTTAATTAAAAATAAAATTAAAAACAGAAATAGAATCTTCTTTGATCTTTTATCAATTCTTTTATTTTACGTTGTACAAATTAGGAAAATATTTCTTTCAAAATTTTATATTAAAATTTTACATTTTGCGTTTTTGTATAAAAATTTTTTTGTGTGTTTCTTTTATGGGTTGCGTAGAATAAAAGGAACAGAGAATAGAGAACAGAGAATAAGAATTTTCTATCAGAAACTGTGTATTCCACAATACATGATTATTTTATCCTTATTTTTCTTTCTCTCATATTCGATACGCGAATTTATTCTTGACATTCTGATTCTGTGCAAGAAACAGCATCACATAATTGATGGACAAATCGAGGATACCACACATTCATATATATATATATACACACGCACGCACGCACACATCTATGTATAATTTAAATATATATGTATAAATTAATATATTACTTTCTAAATGAAAGGAAGAAATAAAAGGAGGAAAAAAACAAGAAGACAAAACACTATAGACATGCAAATTTTTACTATTAAAAATTACACACATCCTTATAAAAATTAATTTTGACATCCTTTTCATACTCCTCTTTAGTTTAAAACCAAAATGTTTTATCAAATTTTATGAGATTGTACTACATATGTGTTATCGTATATAAAATTATTTTAATATAACGCTTTTTAAGCTTTCATTTTTAAAGATATCGGCTGGTATCTTTAAAGATACCAGAGGGTTTGCGGATTTCGCCGTAATACAGATCAGTGCACTCTTCGCCCTGATGAAGCGAACGGCAAGTTTTTACGAAACGTTGGCATTAGTAATGGACAAAAACACGGCGATAACCCGCAAACCCTCTGGTATATTTTAATATGAACCAAATAAACCAATTAAAAAAAATATTAATAATAAAAGAAAAGCTTACAATAATTTGATATAAGAAAAAAGACAAAATTATTTAGACCGTTCATTTATCAAACGTGATTCTCGTAAAACAATAAGATTTTTTCCAAGTAAATCAAAATTATCAAATTCTTCTTCAACAGCTATCGCATCTTGTACAGTTTTAAAATAAATGTGACAATATCGTATATTATTTTTGGAAATTGTCTTTACAACTGTCGCTGAAACTGGACTGTATTTCTCAAACAAATGTAAAATGTAATGTACGCCATAATTTTTATGAATATTAGCAACAATTATGTCTTGCATTGGAATGTACACAATTTTAGACGAATTCCTAGTCTCGTTTGATAATGAGCTATCGGACATCACATCAGATTCGTTAGGCTTCATTTCTGCATCAGAAACTAACATTGGCATTTTCCGATCATGTATGCCAAATCGCTTATTTTTATCAATTTTGCTATCTGTCTCAGTCATTAAAGAATATAATTTAGTTTCTTCTTGCTTTTTACTCGTTACTTGATTATGATCTTCGTTATTAATGAGTTTTTGTTGTAAAGGTGAGCATATTCCATCAAACATTTGAGAACCTGCAGTCTTATGTTTAATTTCGTCCGCATTAGATTTATAGTCGTTCCCTGAATTGCGAGAACTATCTGAAAAGTTATCTCCTTGGAATTTATTCCTATCAAAAGCTCTTGAACTGTAAAATGGTTTTCCTCTATATTCTGACAATTTTTCCTGTTTATTATTCTCATGATGAGATTGTTTATCAGTGCTGAACATCTTTTGTGAAGTATCTTCCATCCTTGTTGCCTGCCATGGGTTCAAACTGTTTTGATTAGCTGCTCTTGCTTCGCCTCCTAATTTATCTTTTTGTGGTAATATTGATATCTGACTATCATTTTGAAGACCTTTTAAACAACTTATCACTTCATCTAATGTTTTATAAGTTATAACTTTCAATCCATTTTGACAGCTTCCCTCATATACGGATACAACATTTCCATAAGATGAAAACGTATCTTTTATATATTCTAAGGATAGTCCTCTCTTATTTGCAAAATGTACGCTAAAACCTCCGTCTTTTGTTGTCCTATAGTACTTTTCATAATCCATTGTAACTGAAGAATTATTTTCCATGGAAGTTTGTTTTAAGGACAATGAAGATTTTTCATTTAACACTGATGAATTTTCTTTAGTTATATTTGAAATAAATTTATTATTATACATAGAGTTTTGAGAAGTATTTAAAACGTTGTTAGATATATCATTCTCATGGAAAATTTTATGAGTGCTGTTTCCTCCATCGTTTGATAAGTTTTCACCATTGAAATCTTTTCTAATCATCTTTCTATCTTTCATTTTACTTCTTTCTAGCAATAACTGTATCTTACTACCATCTTGTAAACCTTTTAAACAAGCTATTGTTTCATCTAAGGTTCCATACTTAATAAATCTAAATCCAGCTTCATCTTTAGTAACATTTACGGCTAAAACATTCCCATAAACTGAAAATATTTCCTTTATCTCGGATACAGTCAGTTTGTCCTTGTTTAAAAAATGTAGATTGTAAATCCCATCTGGATCTACTTTAATGTACTTATCGAAATCCATGGTATCGAATAATAGATTATTGATAATTATACTTTTTGAGAACTCTTTTAGTTCTATGCTGAGATTAAATTAAAGTTAGGTTGAGAGATTAAGCAATATAAATTACAAGTACTTGAGTACACACTCAAGTTCAGCTAAATTTTCAGTCTTTTAACGCTTGGTGTAGTTATGTTTTGTATAGTTTTTTCACCTAAAATCAGTTTAATGTAGTTAGCATTAAGACATTTTTTCTTTTATTTTACAGGGTTGTTAGCAAAAAAAAAAAATTTCTCTAATTTTTCTCGATCACTTTTTGAAAAAATTCCTTGACTAAAACCTGAAAGATTCTTTGAATAGAAACAAAGAAAGATATTAAAATATTTTATTTCATAAACAATACAATAAAAAATATTCATATCCGAAGAATTATTTACCTAGAAGAACAAGTTGCAAATATAAATAATAATACGATACTTGCAGTGAGTGTTGCAAACGTTAAGTGGAACATAAGACTACTGATACCGTGATACATGATGTATGTGTGTGAGTTAAAAAACAAATGAATTACGGGAAACGGATATACATGTATCTTTGTTTTGCATATATTGCTTATTGAGATTTCCATATTCATAGCTAGAATTATATTCATGGCTTCCTTAAATTTATCTTTAGATGCCTAGTAGCCAATAAAATAATTTGTGGAGCATCTAAAGATAAATTTAAGGAAGCCTTAAATATAACGATTAACTAATACGGGCATTAATCATTTTATTAAAACACTGTATATTCTAATTATCGTTTTAATTAATTTTAATTAGAAATGATTTACAAAGTGTTCATCATTAATATATACATATTTTGACTTTTACAAAGTTAAGTTTTTTTCTTTTTAACAATGTCTGTTAATGGTTTTCTGCAAATTGCTCATTGCAAAATTAAAAATAAAAAAATATTTGCATTGCATCTTTAAAAAATTAAAAAAATTCTATATCATAATTTTTAAAGAAGTAAAAAGTTTAAACTTAGAATTTTATAGTAATTTAATTTTATCTTAGATTAATAAATTTCTCAATAATAATTTCCCTGACTTTTCCTAGTTCTCCCTGATCACTTTTTAATTTCCCTGATCACTAACAACCCTGTTTTATTATAATAGTTTTATCTTATTATCTAGTAAATAATTCTCACTTGATGTTACAAAATCCAGCTTTGTTTTTCATAAACAATATAGCAGCAATCAGCAGCAACTTTTCTGGTCAATATGCAGGATTCACAGGACTGCATGCAAAAATTATTCCAAATTATTCCTTGTTAAACAAGCACGTGTTGCATGTGTACCTAATCAGAAATTTTATTACAATAAAAAACCTCTTTTTAACTTATTATCTAGTAAATAAATGATTCTCACCTGATGTTACAAAATATAGCTTTGTTTTTTAAAAACAATACAGCAGCAACGTTTCTGGCTAATAGGCATAGCTAATAGCAATCACGTGCAAAAACTATTCCAAACTATTCTTTCTTAAACAAGCATATATTGCATATATACCTAATCAGAAATTATTATATGTTAGAGAAGAGATCTTTCCTGTTATTGTTTTATACTGTCATATATGTATATAAAAATTTTATTCCCACGAATCTCGACAATCGAAAAGATTATACTCGGTTAATAATCGATTACACAAAAAAACGTGCTCTTCCTTCTTCTTTCTCCCAAAAAATAACCCTGGTCTCTATGATCAGGTAAACAGGTAAATTTGATCAACAATAGATTGACTAGACCCTTCCAATAATCACCAATCATCACCCAATCATCGATGGTCATAAAACAAATTTTAAGTGATCTGACTTAAGTTTCTAAAAACTCTTCGGTGGAAGAATGGCATAAGAAGACAGGTAAGACCAGGTGAGACCTGCAGGAAGCTGCACACAACTGCACATTCTTCAATCAAGCAAAAGTTGGTCTGTTCGTCTTGCTTACACTTTTTTTACACTTTTTACACTTAAAACGAGACAGATATATATTTGACGCTGAAAAGAGAGAAAACGAAGATGCTGAGTGTAAAAAGTGTAAGCAAGGCGAACAGACCAAGTGTTCGCAAATATATTGGTTTTTGGTTAATCATTAACCGCGCGAAATTCAAATCAGCTATCGTAACTATATCAATAACTTGTTTATTTAATGTAGATATTGCATCATCTATTGGTTACGCCTTTGTAGTTCAGCTGGAAGGCTATAAATTATGTTTATTTTAACAGTTTATTGATTTTCAAGTATTATTGTTTAATATTTTATTAAGGGGTCCTGGTTTGGGAGCCCTGGCTTCGATCAACAATTTTTTGTGAATTTTTTGTGAAAAAACGGTCAATTTTAGGTTTGGATCTATATTTTATTTACACTTTGTATAATATGTACAATATGAATTTTTATGAACCAAAATATGTTAAAATGTACAATGGCAGCAAAAGTGTCCAAATGAAGTTTTTTTCAAATTTGCTGACATGTCGCCTCTCGGACATTTTAACACATTTTGGTTCATAAAAATTCATACATATTGTACAAAGTGCAAATAAAATAGGTCCAAACTTAAAATTGATAGCTATAATCAAAATTTTAAATCCAAACCTAAAATTAATAGCTATAACCGTTTTTCCACAAAAAATTCACAAAAAATCGATGATTTTTTAATCCTCCGAACCACCCGGCCCTTTTAATAATTCTTACATTATATGCTCGGGAGAAAAAATGTCTCATATATAATTATATATAATTACATAAAAAATTGACATATTTTATATATCATTATATATATAATTATATATAAAATATGTCCATATATATAACATCAAGAAGATATATATAACATTTTTTCCCGGGATGTATATATGTACATAAGTAAATTTTATGTATATATGTAAATAATTATATAATATCTGTAAACAGGTTATATAACTAATTTTTACATTAGTTTCTCACGTACCTAAAAAAGCTTATGCTTTTATCCAAACATTTGTTTCTTATTTTTATAGCGCGTGCTATTACAATTTTCCACGAAATAGTAAGTGAGTATACTAACAATTTTTAAAGAATATTGATTCTTTTATATATCGCAATCAGAGAAGGTTTTTGTCTTTCATGTAACTCCGGATCTACAATAGGATTTTAAGCCTTAAGCCATAAGAAATGGGCGAATCACAGTCGATTATTCCCCTCGGATTAGACTATAATTGGTCAGTTTCTTACGGATTAAGTCTTAAAACACCTATTGTAGATCCGGACTAATCAGAGAAGATTACCGTAATAAAAGGCCTGTTCTTTTTAATTAAACTCTTGCACCAGTTTATCTTTCTTTCTTTTTTCTCCAGAAGGAAAAAAGAAGAAGAAAGATGAACTGGTGCAAAAATTTAGCTAAAAAGGCCTAAGGGTGCAGTCCCATGGAGCGTATCGCGCGTATCGAAAATCTGACCAATCACGGACGTTCCGCTGTTTTTGATGCACGAAAGTTTCGTTCCTATGGTCCCATGGAGCAGGGGGTCGATTCTGTATCTTCAAACAAGGTGAAAATGACAAAAGTGAGCAAATTTACTAGGTGTTGACCAATGAAATTATCAGTATTCTAGTAAATTTGCTCACTTTTGTAATTTTCACTTTATTTGAAGATACAGAATCGCCCCCCAGAATTCGCGTAAGCGGATCAGGCGGATAGTCAATCATAAAACGAGTTTCGTTATTTTTCTTTATTTGCCTTCATCTAAATAGTTGTATGATT